ACTCAGGTCAGAGTGAAAGCCAAAGAGATAGAGGAGGAGACAGTAAATAGCCTGCTTAACAAGCTTCTGTTCATGGATGGCAGAACAGGTAATGAGGGGGATAGTAAAAAGAATCATTGCCCCAGAGCTACAAAGGATAGAAAGTTACGAGACATGATCGCTCAAGTGACTCGGCACATGAAAAAAAAGATTGTAAGAAGGTCATTGGTTTGATTCAACGGGGAAATATTACTTTTTTTTCCCTTGTTGCCACTTATTCTTATATTCTCAACTATGTGCCGAAGATCCCCAAAATTGAAGTTTAAGTAATGAACAGACATTACAGACAGAAATACAAAGAGACTGGCATTCCTAAAATGTCTGCCTAACACAGAGACATATATATATATATATATATATATATATATATATATACACACACACACAAAGAGATATAGGTCAATGTAGAAAGATTGGCATGGATAGATACAAAGAAAAAAAAAAAATGACAGAATTGGTGATAAAGTTGACAAACTTCAGAGATTATAAGAATGCCAAAAATAACTGACCTCTTAAGTGTTTTATGCTTAGATGATGGCATTTTTTAAATCATTTCTCCTCCCAAAAAAGGCAATAAAGCCTCTAAGCTGAATGGGGTTACTGAGTGTGAGGGAATGAGAAACGGAAAGCATTATGAAGAAGAGAGAACAATAAAAGGAAAGTAGTTAAGACAGCAGAAGATAACAATTGACAGTGCATTTAAATTTTGGAAAATACGTGTGAAGAATCCTCACATACATGTGCACGGATGAAACCCATATATGCAGACACACCTACACAGAGGACTAAAATCCAATCAGCTTTTAGATTTTTATTGGCAGCACTCCCACAGAAAGCAGAAATATTTAAACAGAAGAGTAAAAATAAAAAAAATATCAGCAAAACAGATGAAAGCAAAGCAAAAAACAGCAAATGAAAGCAGAAAAAACAGCAAAGGAAAGGAAAGCAAATCAAAAGGAAAAAAAAAAAAAAAAGTAACAATTTTTGCTGCATCTCAGACACTGAGATCCTGATTTGTTTATTTAGTCAAAGAGAATTTTGTAATAAATTCATGAAAAGGAAACAGAAGTTTTGGGGTTTATTAATTTCATACTTGACAGGAAAGGAGACACATAACACAAGATACTATATATATATATATATATATATATATATATATATATATATATATATATATGAGTGAATATAGAAGTCAACACTTAGAGGCGACAGTCTGTTTCATGCTAGACACAATCGTCAGGCCACAAGTGCTGTTATTTTCTCGGCTATTTATATATACATGTCATTGGTGCATTGTGGGTAGTCTATTTTGGTGATTATTTTACTAGAAGTCGTTTATTTGTTTATTTATTTGAGTTAAATTATTTTGCTTGTTTTTTTATTTAGTTATTATTTTTTATTAGTCAGTATTTTTATTAACGTAGTAAAAATTTGTTTATATCGCTTATTTAATAGTTTTGTTTTGGTTTGGGAAGATAATTAAAGCGATTTATTCAATTTTGTGGTTGACTGTTGTAGTTTATTCAAACTAGTATTTTGGCGGGAGCAATTTCTAATTTGTTTATTATTTTACATGTATAGAAGAATCCTTAATTCCACGCCCAACCCAAATCTATTCTTAATATGAGATTCCTCAAACATTTACAAAAAAACTTGCATCTCAGCTGCCAATAAAACGAATCAAACATTCTAACTACAATAATATGCAATTTAGGCATCAACAAAAGAGAATAACTTATTTCTTCTATGTATTTCAGTTTTATTTATTTATGCTTTTACTATTTTTCACTCGATATAAGTCCCAAGAGACACTAAAGGTAGAGGGCTGCTGAATGAATTTGTAAAGGTGTAGAGGAGTTGATTATCTTGAATGATGGACATCAGCTGACTCTAAACTTAAGATTGTAGTGATCGAGGAAACATTCTCTCAGGAGTCAAAATTTGCCATTATCAGCCCCACAGCCCAGACTTTGCTTCCTCTGACTTTTGGTTGTTTCCAAAGCTGAAGGAGGACTTCAAAGACAGTTGCTTTAAAGACATTGAGAAGATGGGGTCTGACATGTTACAAGTGTATTGAATTCAGAGGATCCCTTTTAAATTTTTTTTTTTTACTTCTTTGAAATTAAAAAAGTGTATTGCTTGTAAAAGTCTTCAAACATCTGGAATCTACTTTGTAATTCTAAGTTCAATCCCTGGGCTAGGTGGTACAAACTTTGAGTGGAGATAGGGTTAGTTATAACTGAAGAGTACTAAAGAAAATAAAAACAAACCAAGATGACATATCCTGAGACAATAAACAGCAGAAGAATAACTATCTATCCCCACTGATTAAATAAATGCTTCAATTTGAGATTTCTTGATAGATACTTGAAAAGTGAATAAAGCACAATATCTGAAACAATGTGATAATGAAGATGAAGATATTAGACTGACTGGAAATAATATAAATGGCAATATCAAGAAATAGGCATGAAAATTCAGAAGCATATCGCAAAGAAAAAAAAAGTAAAAAAAAAAAAAAAGGTTAATTTTGACTACCTCACAGAAGAATTTTTAATATCTATGACTAGTGAGGAGTCAATTTATTTTAGTGCAATGAACTGACCATCTATTTTTGCCATTTTCTTTATATAAAAATGTATTTAGGTAACTTTTGTCTATACCTGTTTATGTAGTACATGAAAAAAATATAAAATGAAATATTTATCCGTTTTATATTTTTTATATATATATATATATATATATATATATATATATATATATGTGTGTGAAAAGTGTATATAAATATAAATAAATATATATATGTATAATTATTTATATATTATATGCACGGTACTTATTAGAAAGCTCAATATCAGAGATAGAGCTAACATATTTGGTTGGATAGATGTGAGTTTGTGACCTGGGTTTCACGCTTTAGCGATCGTCAGCTGACGATCGCTAAAGCGTGAAACCCAGGTCACAAACTCACATCTATCCAACCAAATATATATATAAAGACATTTTTATATTTATATATTCTTTTTAAGTTTATAATAAACAGTATTCAACAACATTTACCGGCCTGAATGTCCGAGAAATTTTCACAGAAAATATTTGTCCTCCGACAAGATTTGAACCTGTATCCTATATGGAACCGTCACTTAGCTTGACATGCCTTTACCGATCAGGCCAGTAAATGTTCGATATTGTTTATTATAAACAGAGCATTTACTTAAATATTTGTATCTATAAAAAAGAATGTATAAACATAAAAATGTCTTAAAATAATTGTCGGACTTTGTCCATTTCATAATATATATATATATATATATATATATATATATATATATATATATATATATAATAAAACCTTGCAATCGCTATATAATATATCAATTCTGCCAACCTTGCATTAACCAGATAAAATTTTTTTTTTTTTTTTTTATTAAAATTTAAAATACATAATAGACAGTCTCTAACCAGCACCTGAAAATTGCATTGTGCATGAAACTGAGTCATGCTCCCGGTGACTGATTATATATATATATATATATATATAGGGATAGATAGATAGATAGATAACTATATATAACAAGACTGACCACAGCTTTGATATAAAAAATGGTACTCTGATCAAAGGAGAAAAATATTCACTATGATGAAAATGTCCATGCTTTGATCTCAATGTCATTTACAGTAAATTTGCACTTTGGCTCTTACAACATTTCACCATTCCTGGCAGAACTTCTATTATCACAATGTGGGATATCTACAAATAAAAGTGATGGAATCTATTTCAAACACTGGTACTTACTAAAAATAATGTTTAATGTAATAAAATGTGTGTGTGTGTGTGTGTGTGTGTGTGTGTGTGTGTGTGAGAGAGAAAAAAAGACATCTGAATTGATCAATTATTTCAGGAGATTCTTTGTTTTGAATAATGGTAAATTTTAAGAACTTTATGGCTCAGATACACTATGTTACTTTCACCAACTCAAATCACTCAGTTCCTCAGCGTTCCAAAGGTAAAAGTTCTATTCCAAACTGTTAACTCCCACATGTATGCTTCCCTGAATACTATTATCTTCAAGGGTTAACTGTTACCTATCCCCTTTACCCTTTGCTTTCATTCCCATCACACACCTTATTCATCATTACCATTTTAGCAGTAACTCCCAAACTTGTGTAGCTCTCAAGACTTGTATTAAGTATTTTAGTCTATACATTAATACACAAAAAGACAACAGGGTGTCTACTCATAGCTTCATATGCAGCCATAGTGGTGTAATGGATAATGGCTTGGATTGAGGATTCGGAGAACAGTGTTCAAATTCCTGTCGGGTCCATTATATTCCCTTACATGCTAATACCCTTGGGAAAGGTATGAATCTATCTCTTCTCTTCCCAGCTATGGGTAAAATAAGACAGACCCTAGGAGCAGGTCAACTCTGAAATCAAAATCTTCACAGGGTTGTTTGCGGACCTAGTGGCAGAGTGTACACCAGTTTTCTATATTTGGCTCTTTCAAAAAGTGTGGTTAATTCTGCACAATCCTTCACTATTATAATTAAATGATATGTGCAGTTAGTCTAGCTGTTTGTTCTAAGAACTGAGTTGCTTGACCCTCATGTGTCAAAAATGATGGGATAGTGCAGTATGTATACAGGGCGCCGTGGATAAATTGTCATCTAAATTACACAAAAATGAAACTAACACTAACATCTCATTTTAACAGATAATTTTACCAAATTTACACATAAATATCTTGAAATACTAAAGAGTAACTCTATTCAGTAAAATTGCCATTGGCTCCAACCATGGACTCCAGATGACTTGGGGGGGGGGGTGCTGGTCAAGAGAAGTGATAATAAACCCAAAGCAGAAAGGAGTTAGGTTTTCACAGTAATTTTGACAGATAGCCCCTTCCCCTGATGCTGCAGTTAGCTGGTGATCTTAGGCCATTGGTTTTAATTGACCCTTCAGAAGCTGGAAGTACAAGGGCAGTAATCAGAAATATGGAGGAAGGAACTGACTGCTGGGGAAAGTGGGGAGGCAAAGCAGCTCACTGGGGGCAGCAGGAAAGGAAATGGGGAGAAAGTGCAGGTTGCCAGAGGAAAGGGGGGGAAAAAAGAGTAGGTCGCCAGTGGGGAAGTAGGTTGCCGGAGGGGAGGAAAAGTAGGTTGCCAGCGGGGAGTGAGATTAGGTCGCCAGGTATATGGGGGAGGGGGTTGGAAATAGCAGGTCACCTTGGGGGGGTAGTAGGCTGCCAGGGGAAAAATAAGTAGGTCGCTAGGGGGGAGTAGGTCGCCAGGGAAAAAATAAGTAGGTCACAGGGGGGGGAGTAGGTTGCCAGGAGAAAAAAAAAAAAAAGCGTAGGTCACCAGGGGGGGGAAGTGGAAAAATTGCAGGTTGCTGAGTGGGGGGGAGAAAAATGGGACTGGGGAAAGAGAAAAAGGGAAAGAGCAGAGTGAAGAGGGGACAGAGAAGAGAAGAGGTCACCAAGGGGAAAAGGGCAGAGAACATTTTTGCCAAGATGAGTCCAGAGCAGGTGATTGGAGGGAAGCAAAAAGAGGAGAAAAGAAATTTATGGCAAAAATAAAGTTGTGCACCTGGACATTTAATGAAAAGAGATTGTTTAATGAAAACCAAGTCTGGCACAAGTTAGTATAAGGAACCATAATTATGACAATAATAATGTCCTGGAAAAAAAATGAATTGGCTACTCATTGCTTCACAGTGAGTTTATGAAGATTTTTTTTTTTTTTTTAGATGGCAAATCCATTTTTACTTATGATTCATTTAATATATAATGCTTGTCTGTATGATCAGATGAAAACGGAACTTTTCACAATATTAACAAATAATCTGAGATATTAATGCTGAATTCAATTAAGAAAACGTTTTGGTGTTGAGAACTCCAGCGGAAGAAATCTGAACATATATCTACCAATTTATTCACTATCAAAACAACAAAATCAAGCAATAAATGAACTAGAAAAGACTGTTAAAATATTAAACCTAATGAAATAATATTGTATCATGAAAACATTTTTTCCTGAGTATCTGTTTATATTTCTGAGATGAGGTATTATGTCCACTATTTACATTATTCAGTCTATTATTTTTACTGAGATTTCAATTTTGTTTAAATAGTTAAAAAAAATACCCCCCAAAACCAAAAGAGTCACCTTCTATAGTTGGGGTAAAAGGGAAAGATTATAAGCTAAAACAACTGAAGATAATGCTTATGATATATCCATTTCTTTTAGCAGCGCCAATCATCATTGGGGATTTAACTCCAAATGCATTGATTTCAAGCCAGGGAGAAAAAGGTGGCCTCTGCCTTTGTGTATTGTCTTCATATACCAATGAAACACCAACAAATCACACAGTAATGGCAGCTCAATACAGAGAAATTGAAGGTTCATGCCATGAGTATTTTCAAATCTGTTGAGCTTTTAACAAAACTGTTGGCTCTTTTAGATGGGTTTTCTAACCTATTCACATGTCTGCTATCAAATTACAATAAAACAACCCTAAAAGTTATCAGTTTTGATTACATTCAAAATTGAACAAAGGGGCATTTTTTTAAATGTGGTTTCATCTTATTGCACCAAGACTCAGAGAAATTCAATTTTACATGAAATAAGTGGTCACCACCCAACAATAAGTGTTTAGCATCGAAGCCTTAAATGGACAGAACTGGGGCATTTATTGTTTGGAACAAATAAAAACAGTAGAGAACAATCGAATAGCATTGACTACAAGTCTTATTTGTGATGATTTCTTGTAGTTTAGAGTTCTTAAAACAGCAATAAATCTTTTGACTTGAAGAAGTAGTAATAAGAAAAGCAAGAGATCTGTGGCTGTTTTCGCCATCAGAATTTTATTTATGTCTTGAGTAACAGAGTTAATTGCCCCGCACCAAAATGCTTCACCCTCAAAGCATCCTGTTGTCTGTTACATGGCTTGCAGCAATTTCTATCAAATCAAAATTTCCGTAATGGCTTTGCTCGACATTTGTATTCAGACTGGTTGAGAGAAAAACTTGATCTAAACTAATAGGCTTTCCTTCCAGGCAACAGCAACAGATGGCTGTAAGCTTCAAAGGATGACTTTTGTGACTTGACCATTCCTATCTAAAGACTAACACTGTAGATTTAAGAGAGAGAGAGAGAGAGAGAAGAGGAAACTTCAGATGAGTTCTGTCTACAAGCTCAATTCATTTAAAGAGAAATCAGGGTGGAATTTATAAGGGAATCAGGTTTGAATTTAGTCATTGTTAACATGAATTTCCAATTTTTGTTACACACAAGAAGAAAAAAGATGACAATTTTATAGACAGAAACTGTAACACATTTCAAATGTTTACAATGATTTTAGTGATGAGGAGAAAAAAAATTTATTGAAAGTAACAATCAATATTTGTATTGCTGAAAAGATAGTAATGAGCCAGCTAGTAGACATCCAGAGGGTCAGTGTGAGACAATGAATGTAAGAATTTTTATATTAAGCAGCAACAAGGATACTTCAGGTGTTAATGATCGAGAAGTTTAATCCTTACACAAGTTCAAGTGCTATCTGTGGCCTTATACCAAATCTAAGATAAACTTAGTAAATACTGTGATTTACCCAACTGCTCCGATATGCAGCAGGACTAAGCTCTTGACCGGATTGTCTCTTGATCCTAAAGCTAGTTATGCATTTTATTTATTTCTCTCTTTAGTGGGTGGTGGCTTTGGAACTCATGTTTTGATTTTAATGGTATCACCATTGGTAGTTATAAAACAAGTCATTTCAGATCAAGATAATACAGTACATTTGACTATATGGGTGCCCTAAACAATTTAGTCGGAAACTATTTTGCCTCATTAGCAAACTGAACATGCATTTTTGTTCCCATCCCATCAGCTATTCATTTAACAGCTTCTCTTTAGCATATCCAAATTTCTAGCAACACTACCCTTACTGAGAAAAAAAAACAAAAAAACTTATGAATGGTTTGATTTTGGGGCTGGCCATGAATAAAAGAAACCAGAGTTAAGGAAAGAAAGGGGAAGAAATGAATTAATGACAGTTATATCCAACATCTGTATATTTCTGAGATGAGGTATCGTAAGTATTTACACTGTTTACATTGTTGTCCCCATTCTTACCATATTCATGACACTTGGTTTGAAATTCCAACCTTAAGGCAAGAGCATACAATGGCTGAAATGTTGTGAACATTATAGTAAAGATGAGGACAGCAATCCAAACAATGTAAATAGTTATATCCAAATTTGTTACTAAATATGTGTGAAAAGTGTATATATATATATATATATATATATATATATATATGAAAAATATATGTATAAATATATATATATATATATATATATATATATATATATGAAAAGTGTATATATATATATATATATATATATATATGAAAAGTGTATGTATATAAATATATATATATGTGTGTGTGTGTGTGTGTGTGAAAAGTGTATGTATATAAATATATAATATACATTATTATTTATATATTATATGCGCGGTACTTATTAGAAAGCGCACAATATCAGAGATAGAGCTAACATATTTGGTTGGATTGATGTGAGTTTGCGACCCTAGGTTTTACGCTTTTGCGATCATCAGACAAGCTCTCTGACGATCACAAAAGCATGAAACCCAGGGTCACAAACTCACATCAATCCATATATATATATATATATATATATATATATATATATATATATATATATAGCCAGGTTAAGATGAGAATGAATAGAGAACTATTCCAACATTTGTAACATTTAATTCAATACAAAGTAGAGAAATATTTGTTATTTTAGGGTATTATATTAAAAAATATGTCAATCGCCTGATGAGATGGTTTGATAGACATCGAAACACAACTGCAATTGTGTAGCAATATTGACATGTTTTTATGTAATATCCTAAAATAAATTGTGTTTTATATATATATATATATATATATATATATATATATATATATATATATATATAAAATGTGAAAAAAAACGAACAAAAAAAAAAAAAAAAAAACACACATTACTTCCTTGAATATCCATATTTTGAGTATCCGGATTTGAAATGAAAAGAAAAATTAAAATCATCGAAACAATTTTTTTTAATTATCTTAACTAAACCCATTCTAATATTTCATCTCAGAAAGGGGCTTTGTGAATCTAGAAAACTGTACTCAGCACTTGATAAAACTTGATAAATGTTGAGTGTGCTTTCAAACAGATTCTACCATTACAAATGCATCTACTTTAAGCCGTCTTCAGCAGTTAGATGCAGAAAAACAGGAGCCCAGCTGGAAACAGAAAAAAATTATGCATTTTTACATAAAAAAAGAAAGAAACTGGATAAAACCTTGAATGAAATATTTGAAAATGTTATTTGAGGATATAAATATTAAATTTCTTTTAGGAATTTTTTTTTTTTTTTATAATTTAGGTATTCAATTATTCAGAATTTTGAATTTTCCAAACATTTTTTTCAACCCCTGACCCCAAATGTCAGAATAATCTATTTCCTGATGTTTTTTTTTTTTATCAATCCACCCCATACAAGGCAATAATGCCACTATATTTTTTTTTTAAGCATTATGCCCCGAGCAAGGCGTGAAGCCACTAGGATGCAGGGGGTTGCGGAAGATTTGGAGCGAGAGCAGATAGGAGTGATAGAAGAAAGGATGAGGAGAGGGATAGTGGATAAATCAAGGTAACTGGAGATGTCGATTGACATTACATTTGAATAGTTGGAGATTATAGCTCTCAGGGAAACAGTAATTGGGAAGGGTGTTCCACAGGTGAGAGGTGCAAGGTATGAAGCTATTGGAGTAGAAGAGACAGCTACATTTAAAAGTTTCTACAGTGTAAGGGTGGGAGCAGGATGCCAGCCTCATAGGGCGCTTGAATTCATGGAGTCTGGGAACCAGTGAAAGCAGTTCATCGGAGTAATTACCATAAAAGTATTTGTAGAAAAGACAGAGAGAGGTGACGGTGGGTCTGTGAGAGAGTGACTGTAGACGAGAAGCCAGATCAGGGCCAATTATATTACATATTCGTCTCTGGATCTTGTCAAGAACTCCGAGGTAAACAGAAGGTGCCCCAGACCATATATGGCAGCAATACTCCATGTAAGGGCAAATGGTTGATTTGTATATTTGAAGTATCAATTCCAGGGAGAAAAATTTCCTGGCGCGGCACAGAGAGCCAACTTTCCTCGTGGTGGATGAAGCAATTGACTCAATGTATTTGCTCCATCTCAGGTCAGCAGGCAACGCGAGACCGAGCAGATGCAGGGAGTTGCTCTCAAGAAGTTGACTATCAGACATTCTAATGGGGGGCAGGGAAGGATCTCTATGGTGATTAATAGAGCGTAGTTTAGTTTTTGAGGCGTTAAAGTTGACCAGCCAATTCTTGCCCCAATTAACAACCGATTGGAGGTCTATTTCAAGACGCACGACCAGGTTAGTTTTGTCACCGACACTATATAAGTGGGAAAGAGAACATGAAAATGTTAGAAGGAACTAAAGACCCAATCTTGAATTATATACAAGGGATAAACCCTTACTCCTGTCCAAAAGTCCGGAGAGGAGTTTTAACTAGAAATCCTAAAAAGAAAACAAGGAATAAAACTTTACTCCAGTTCAAAAGAACGGGAAGGAGTGCGAAGGAGATGCATTCCGATAGAGTGTATTCCCAACATGTAGGCAGGAGTGTGAATTTTAATCTGGAGAAGATTTCATCTTATAACGTGATTCATAACTTCATTTCCATCTTTTCTTGGCAGTGTGTTGCATTAAGTTCAAAAGAAAAAAAATGCCTGAAAACAAAATCTAGACTTAAACATCTCTTCAAGACAATTGCCAAACTTTCACTTTACAGAGCTTAGATTTCACACACATCTATATAATAAACACAAATGTCAGTGTATCGCTGCATCACACTTTTTCAATTAAACTTCCAATAAACTTTCAATAGCTTATATTATGGAAATTTTGAACTTCCAAATTTTCTTTATTGTAATCGTTTAGGGCGATTTTTTGAATAATTTGTTTTTTAAGCCCCGCGCTAAATATATAATAAAAATTTGCCAAATAGTTATATTTAGGTGTAAATTAACATGCTTAATTCGAAAATAACAAAGAAATTTTGATAAAATCTACCGTTTTGGATTTATCGACAATAGAAGTTCGAACTCATTCGCTTTTTGGCAGCCATTACTGGTGTTGTTTGCAGATATATGATGTGGAATAACTTCTTTTTTTTATTGCACACACAATGATTCCTTAGTTACACAGTAATTTAGTCAAGTAAGAACCGTAAAAAGGCAATTAACAATGTAATCTTCTGCACAAATCTGATCAGCAGCAAATGCATGCAGACAACGTCAGTAATGGCTGCCGTGCTGTAATGTGAATGAGTCCGAATTTTTATTGTCGATAACTCCTAAATGGTAGATTTTATCAAAATTTCTTTGTTATTTTTTAATTAAGCATGTAAATTTACACCTAAATATAACTATTCAGCAAATTTTTATTACATATTTGTTATAAAAAAAATCAAATTACCAGATTTTTTTTACGTGATTTTTTGTAACAAATTTATTTGTATGGTAAGAATTTTTATAAGTTGGAAATAAATTTGGGAATAATTGAAAGGAGTGCAAAATCCAGCAAAAATCACCCATGAAATGATATTTATAAGTCTACCATTCACTCATGATTTGGATATTGCTGCCATATACGGTCTGGTGCTCCTGTTGTATATTTAGATATTCTTGATAAAATCCAAAGAAGAATCAGCAATATTTTTGGTTCTGACCTGATATGTGAGCTTTAGTAATTTTCCCACTGGTGTAATATAGCTTCCCAGCATCCTTTTCATGAAATACTTTCATGGGAATTGTTCTAATGAACTCTCCTCTATGGCAGGGGCTGGCAACCTTTTACTATCTATGTGCCAATTTAGGGTTTAAAAATCATGAAGTGTGCCAACAGCAGACATATTTTTATACAAGTCAAGGTCAATATACCAGTTCTACATTATATTTTATATAATAATATATAGTATATGTACTTTAGCATATATTAAAATTGATACAGCTAAATATCTTCTTTGCGCTGTTGTAGCTATTGGTTTGGACATCATGTCATTTGCGGCTGCGTGCCATTGGGAATTGCTTAGTGTGCCACAGGTTGCTGCTGACCCCTGCTTTATGGTACCTACACTTTAGAAATTTAAGTACAGTACTAGATTGGTGGCAAGATCTCATCATTTTACAGTTGAAACTGTAAATTCTATGCTAACAGTTTTTTTTCCTCACACTCAGATTGTGGAACTCTTCTGGAATCTTGCTTTGCAAGTTTGAAATCGTTATCTTCTGTCCTCTTAAAATATGTTCTTTTATTGTTACTGCTCCTTCATGTTTCGCTTATATTCTTTCACACTCAGTAATTTCCTGCATGTTAGTGGCTCTGTTGCCTTGCTTGGCATGAAATGATTAAAAAAAAGAAAAAGTTGAGATTTCAGAAGCAACGGTTCTGGAGAACAGTGGACCCTCCTTTTTACCAATGTATGGAAATAGGAAAGATCGAGTTAAAATTTAAGCAACATTTTTTGTTTTAACCAAGCATGTATCATTTAAGGACAGCTGCCTAGATAAATACACACTGGGCTTATGTATGCTAATATGCACATACAGTTTTTCCTGCCTGAAGAAAGCAAACTGATATTCCATCCAATATCATCAAGTTGCGGTGGAGTATATACAGGAGGAGATAATTAATGCTCAAAATATGTGCAAGTTGATGGCAATTTGTAATGCTGCGTCTATCTATTGGAAAGGGTGTTTGTTTTTTGTGTTTGTTTCCAGGTAAAAATAAGAATCTAGTGTGGGAGGGAAACACTTCAAAATATTTAATTATCAGGTTTTATTGAATCGGCTTCCCTGCAAATGGATGGAAATGAAAGCCTCCATCAAGGCAAGAAGAGAAACTGACAAAATTGACAGCCGTTAAAAATTACAAGGATTTATTGTGGATGGCTGAAATTACACAAGCAAAATGGATTTTGAAGAGGAGAATAGGGAAGACAGTGTTATTCTTTCAGCTGGCTTGACAGATCTCATTCTACACCTTCACTCACAATGTGAGTGACATAAGAGGTAGATGTGTGTGTGTGTGTGTGTGTGTGTGTGAAGGGGATTTTTATTATTGTTTTTATCCTAAATATTGAAGAGGACACACAAGTGCAAATGAAGAGTACATGCTCAAAATTGTGTCAAGGGTACATGTATATACACAGAAATGCAAGTACACCTACATATCTACCAAAGAGAATAGGAGAGGCTGTTATCCCAAAGGGGAGAATAGGAGAGGCTGTTATCCCAAAGGGGAGAATAGGAGGGGCTGTTATCCCAAAGGGGAGAATAGGAGAGGCTGTTATCCCAAAGGGGAGAATAGGAGAGGCTGTTATCCCAAAGAGGAGAATAGGAGAGGCTGTTATCCCAAAGGGGAGAATAGGAGAGGCTGTTATCCCAAAGGGGAGAATAGGAGGGGCTGTTATCCCAAAGGGGAGAATAGGAGAGGCTGTTATCCCAAAGGGGAGAATAGGAGGGGCTGTTATCCCAAAGGGGAGAATAGGAGAGGCTGTTATCCCAAAGAGGAGAATAGGAGAGGCTGTTATCCCAAAGGGGAGAATAGGAGAGGCTGTTATCCCAAAGGGGAGAATAGGAGAGGCTGTTATCCCAAAGGGGAGAATAGGAGAGGCTGTTATTCCTTTCACGGGATGATAACACATCTACCCCTTTATTTACAATGTTAGTCACATAAGAGGCAGATATGGGTAAGAAAAGAATATTTGTTATTGTTTTTATCCTAAATATTGAAACACACACACAAGTGCAAAAGAAGGGTAAATGCAACTAGAACAGCAGATATGTTAAAGTGTGTGTACACCTACATATCTGCTTACATTAATAATTTTGTAGCCTAATAATCATCACTGACCACACGTAATCATGGTAATGATAATGATGTATGGCAACTCACTAGAGAGTAAGATTTGTGTGTGCATGCATGTACCCTCCTTTTGTACTTTCAGATCATCAGCATCTTTGAATAAAGATGATATGAAAAGTGAAAATTTACTTGCTAGCAAGTTACCATACAGTTTTTCTTAATTTGAGATATATATATATATATATATATATATATATATATATATATATATATTTAAAGACATTTTTATGTTTAACATTCTTTTTATAGATACAAGTATTTAAGTAGTAATATAATGCTCGTTAGAATTAAGCTTTGCCTTCATTCACTAGTGAATTTATTGTTAAGAATCTCTCAAAAATGACATTGGCCATAGAGAATTAGTTCCAAGACAGCAGTTCCTAAGTACCAGTAATTTGGTCCCTTTTAAAAATTACATATAGATGATATAGACTACTTTATAGAAGTTTAACACCTTCCCTGCCAATTATTTTGGCAAAAACAGATCATTTTTAAACCAGTATTATTATAAGATAGTAATTAAGAAACTGAGGCACCTTGAAGTACGTGTGCAGTGGATAACACTTCTACCAGACGTACGAGTTGAAAATTGGATTTGTTTCAAGCTCAGAAGGGCATAAGAAGAATCAAGATCAATGTATGAACATGTCTGTAGTTGGTTTTTGAAAGTTATGTTTTGGACACATTTATTCATCCATGTCTGAAACAGATATTTTAGGTCAAAACGTATATACACGTCTACACCAGGGAAGAGGTTAAAAAAAAGAAAAAAAAAAAAATTGTGTGATACTGAAATGCATTTTTGTATTGAGAAAACATCTGGAAAATAAATAATCATTACTTCTACCTAAATCTCCTCTGAACAATTTATAGATGAACAGGTGATATGAGGCAATAAATGTGATTCTACAGGAGGATTTTGAGAATAAAATAACATGGACTGAACATGTGAGCAGAGAGGAAGTTTTAAGGAAAATGGAAAAAAAACACTCTTATAATTAGTATCATAAAACATTTGAAATATCTGGGACATATGAGGAAAGAAGGGTTGGAAAAATAGACACTCATGGAGCATATTGAAAGCCAGAGGTGCAGTGGGAAACAGTGAGCAACTCCAAAAACCAGTTTGAAGGATAGGAAGTTGTGGAGAGCCATGATCACTAACATTATGAAGAATAAAAGATTCTGCCAGCAATGCTTGCTTTAATTCCTGACTACCAACATTTAATGGGGTGGGGAATTGTTGACAAAGTTTTTGACTTGAAGTGGAAAGACTATATTGAATCCATTGCTAGGTCAATTGCTAAGAAAGTCGGTTCACTGTGTCAGGCAAGAGAATTCTCTCCAGAAAGGATCATATATATCTATAAGTCTACCATTCATCCATGCTTAGTGGGAGCACCAGACCCATGTGGTAATAATATTCTATTTAGCTTGAGCTCCTTGAAAAGACCCAAAGAAAAATATGTAATATTATTGGTCCTGATCTGGCAACTCAGCAGTACCGAGTTAGTATTAATCGCTATCTACTGTCCTCATGATTCTTTTCTCTTTCCACTCATTAGAAATGTTTCTGTTTTTAATTCTTCCACACCCCTTGTGTCTTAGTGGCTTTACTGCCTTGCATGGGGTGATGCTGATTAAAAAAAAAAAAAAAAAAAAAAAAAACAAATATGACAAAACCCCTATGTATGTGGGTTTATACATATGCATGAATAAGTCTGTAGCCTTACATGTATATATTCCATGAATTTTGAAGTATGTGAATATTATTCACCAATGAATTAAGTGCATTGACAAGAAATGAGATTATCATGAAAAATAAATATTTTTTGTGTAAAGTCAATGTTTTTTACCCTCCTTATGAGAGAGAGTGGGAGTGAAAGTGAGAGAGTGAGAGAGAGAGAGTGAGTGAGAGAGTGAGAGAGAGAAAGTGGGAGAGAGTGTGTGCGTATGTTTATGTTTTTGAGTAAGTGTGTGTACGTGCATATCTGTATGTTTTTCTCCATTTATATTTTATGAAATGGATTAAATCCTACATATTTTAATTTGTTTTGTTTAAATGTTATTTTAGATGGATACTCATATTTGAGTAAATGTTCTGTTTATTTAATTAAACACTATTTTTATTCAATTACATTTACCGGCCTGAATATTTCAGGAATCTTGTCAGAAAATGTGTGTGCTCCAGCAGGATTTGAACAATGTAAATAATGTAAACATTAATTTAAGATTTCATATTATGGATGATTGTATGACAATAGCCAAATAAAGGAAATAATTGGTTTGATTTGGTTGTTTTTTGTTTAGTGGCATATCGACACACCTATAATGCCAAATAAAGTCTTGGTTGTTAGATATGATGGGACAATGTTGGGCTTAATTACATAGGTTCTAAGGCTCAATGACCAGCCAATTGATGGGATTGGGCCTCTTTGACAGTCTAGCTCAAGTAAAGACCAAAGTGGAATGTTACCCATCGCATAACAACTTACACATCTTGGTCATGAACTGCTCAAGTCTCCGGGTTTCTGTCCTCAGGCATTAAAGGTTACTACCCACAGAAAAGATGTGTCCTCATTGAGAGGTGACTGACACTCCTCTTTGCTCTTACCCTTCTGCAGGACAGGTAACACTCTTTGCTTTTACCCCTCTGCAGAGGTGCAGTCTGTGTATTCTACAGACCCAGCTGACAGGATGTTAAGTTAAAGGAAACAAGAAAGTGGAAAAGTTTTAAAACTATTCAATTACAAATTTTACCACTTATAGAAGGCACCCTCTGGGTGGAATCAGGTACAAAGCAGTGTATGAAAAAAGGGGTGTTGGAACATGCAGAAGAGTTAATTAAGCGCTTATGTAGCAGCAAGGGTGTTGAGCTCTTTTCAAATTGAAGTCACTAACATCTGCTCCATCTTATATTTAGTCCATTCAGAGTAGATAAGATTTTTTTTCTATCAGTTCATATGTCACATTGGGATACTTATTTTTTCACTGATGATGAGTGATATTGTACAAGCCTGATCTAAGGATGACCATAGAAAATTGTGAGATCAGTGCACTTTCAATGACTTCACATTTGTCATATCTTTTCATATGGGAAAGTTTCTGATTAAGATGCACTGTATTTATTGCATCATATCTAATCGCTAGAATGATATGTGATTGCATATTAAATGACTTATTATTGCCAAGGATTTCAATCAGGTGAGAGGCTGACATAAAAATAAAAAGAATTTCAAACGGAAAATATTAATTTTCAACACCAGTGGAAACACTAATTTTTGGATCATTTACACTATTTCCATTCTGACTATTGTCTTCATCTTTCTTGTTATCGCAACGTTTCTACCACTGTGACCTCCAGCCTTCTTCGGGTATATATCAACCTGGGTAACCTTCAGGAAATTTTAAACTGAACCTTTTATTTAATCTACAGGGGATAGATTCTTCTTGTTCTGCTGTCTGTATGTAAGGACATAGTTGTGTTTATTTTTTATTTTTTTTTTTTTTCCATTTCACACCAATAACAGTAATAAAGTTGCTAAGACGCAGCTTGGTGTGAACCAAGATGATTGTGGCTTGACTTGGTATTTCTGAGAAGGTACAAAAGCATTGATGTTGGCTTTAACCCAAGAAGAAAACTATGGCAAGGTTAAGAATATCAATACAAAGGAGCATTTCAAATGTGTTGTTTTCTAAAATGTCAGAAAAAATACATTTGAGAAACCTCTAGAAGTGTAAATAAAAGATTATATGAACACAAAAGAGATATTTTACAAAACATATTGAATGTATTAGTTGTTCATTGTAATGAAACTGATTACGATTCAGATGTAAAAATGCTACCCTAATTAAAAGAGAAAACAATTCACTAATGCGACAATGTTTAGAAAGTACCTTAATTGCTAGTTCATCCCTAGTAAATTTCTGTCCAGGTTCTTACAACATTTCACCATTCTTTGCAGATCTTCTGTTATCACAATGTGGGTTATTTAATAACAAAGATGATGGAAAGAAAAAGAAAAAAAGAATTTATAAGAAAGAAAGAATCTAAAAGAAATTGGCTAAAAAAAAAAAAAAAAAAAAGAAAAAAAAAGTTATTAAAAGAAATTATTAAAAAAAATTTTTAAAAATTAAAAAATTAGAAAAAGAAAAATTAGCAGCATTTTTTTTTTTGTTTGTGCACATGTGTAGTCACATCAACATAAACAAACTTTGTCCAATGAAATCCCAAAGGATGCAATGCATTATGCAATAAACTTTTTCCACATTGTCATATTACATCTTTCCTCCAAAATTGTTTTATATATGTATACACAAAAAAAAAAAAAAAAAAGGATGGTCTGAAAAATGAGTAATGGAAATGCTACTTATCAAATCAAATTTACATAATTTACCTGCAAACCTTTTAGCAGGAGAGGCATCCGCAATTTCATGTATTATCTTAAAGGATTTTAAAGCAAAGTGGATACTGATAAGTTTTGGATCCGACCCACATCCAAAAATCTGACCAAATTGTATAACATCAGGACATTTATTTTAGATGAAAGGGCTTTTTAGGTAGGCTGAGGATTTTTTTTCAGCACCCATTGTATATAATCTCATACTGTGACCTAAGTAACTGGCAATCCACAATTAAATTTAACATCTTGTAATACTTTGGTGTAGAAAAAAAAAAAAAAAGAAAGAAAGATGCAAAGACAGAGGATGGCATATACACAGAGAGAGGAAGGAAGACACATGCATGGGCAGACATGGATGACGGACCGAGACGCACACATGGGCAGACATGGATGACGGACTGAGACGCACACACGGGCAGACATGGATGACGGACCGAGACGCACACACGGGCAGACATGGATGACGGACAGAGACGCACACACGGGCAGACATGGATGACGGACCGAGACGCACACACGGGCAGACATGGATGACGGACCGAGACGCACACACGGGCAGACATGGATGACGGACCGAGACGCACACACGGGCAGAGAGACAATTTTAGGGATGGTGAGATACACAAACTTTTTTTGTTTCACTAGAAAATTACAGTTACAAACCCAATGTGCTCTTTGTCCGATTTTTTTCACATTTCAAGTGTTTACGAAAAATAAAAGTAAATAAGTAAATGTTGCAAGTCACTCGGCAAATCATTGCCTACAAAATCTGCAATCTTTTCATTACTTCAATACAGCTTTAACATGATGACTGTTCGAGCCAAAACAACCTCAGTCAGAATAGCATGATCACAACTGCTATAATAACAATTGACTGTTTATGCAACAAAAGACAAGAAACATTAGCATTTTGAATCTACAGCTTAATTTAATCAAAAATAACAGATGCACGGGTCAATGTCAAGGTGACAATCAAGTCAGTTGATGTCAAATTCACGATGTTTAGTGGAAGACGAATTGTGTTTAAATGAGACAAAATTGTCAGGATATAACAATTTGTCACATCCAACATTTATCCACCAGTTGAAAGAATTCAAACGTCTATCTAGTTACTGTTTGTTTTCTAGCATCTATGCAGCTGTGGTTCTAGTGAAAGCATTTCTACAAGGTACATTGACAAACAGAACTCAAAAAAAAAAAAAAAAAAAAAAAAAAAACAACACTGTCATAAAATAAAATAAAGATTGTTATCTTTTGATATTTATTTGCACCTTGAATAAACACCAAAAAAATTAAAACCAACTACACTTCACTGTTTTTTTTTTTTAATTATTTCACCCCAAGGAAGGCAATAAAGCCAGTAAGACAAAGGCTTATTGAGTACAAAAGAATGAGAAAAAAAAACAATTAGAGAGGACAATAAAAGAACAGAAATTAAGACCGGAAATAATGATTGATATGACGTTCAAATTTTTCAAGATCAAAGTTGACTGGAAAGTAAGAAGCCCAAAAAAGAGTTCCACAAGTGAGAAGTGCAAGAGAAGAAACTATTAGCATAGAACTTATGGTTATTTCAATGTCATAATGATGAGACCTAGCTGCCAATCTAGTATTGCGCTTAAATTCATGAAGTCGACGTATCAAAGAGAAAAGCATATCAGAATAATTACCATGAAAACATTTATAGAAAAGGCACAAGAAAACTACATTACCAGTACGTTTTTATTTTTAAAATTATAATCTCCAATTATTAATATTTTGAGACAGACACACAGAGTAGTAGAGTGGATAAATGAAATGCCCAAATATAAGCAGACATGTACGCGTGTGCATACATAGGCAAGCAAATAAATAATTGTTAAATTTATGTATGAGGTGTAAAAAGTAATAATGCTCAATGCAGTTATACAGAGCAACGATATGTATTAATTAGTACATATATGCATATCTACATTTTTGCCGTGCAAATATAGTTTCGCTGGGTGATGTTCCCAGTTCATCAGGCACACAGACTCCATGCCTGACAAATTGGGAAAACCACTCAGCGAAACTACAGTCACACACCAAAAATGTAGGTATGCATATATGTACTAATTTATATATATGTGTGCATACACACACAAAGATACAAAATGAAAGTGGATCAGTAAGTTCATAGCCTGATACAGTTATTTGCTGAATTTATGGATATGAAATTTTCATTGTATAATGTTTGGTTTCCGTGTTTAATATTCAAGTAAAGATTATCTTTAAAACTAGTGCTTTTTTCAGCATTAAACTCTCGGCTTATTAATATATATTGGTGTGTGTAGGTTATATATATATATATATATATATATATATATATATATATATAATTATACACATACTCATGTAACAATGTTTATTTTAAATACAGCTGTACTTTTTGACTACAGTATATGGATATAGAGATTGGTCAACAATGTGATCAGGGCCAGCAGTACATATGCTAATTTTATATCTTGTGTATGATATGACCCCCTTAAAATTAGCTTCAAAATTAGGTCTTCAAAAGTCACTTGATACACAAGTATATGTGATATATTAGGTATTGTTATAAGAACAGTGTAGAGGTTATCAACATTTAATGACACAGCAAACAGAAAATGCAAAATTTAAATTCCTACCCCATAGTGGTAGTTAATGTTCACTTCACACTAACACCACCTCCCTCACTAGGTCAGCTCAGGAATCCGTACCAATCTCAGATACTCTCTGACACAGAACAACTAATCTCATATTAGTTGTTTTGGACACTGCCAAATAATGATACACTGACAACCTACTAAGTTATGGAAGAATTTGATTTTGACAAATTAGGATTTCTAATTAGCTAGCAATTAGATTATAAGGAATTAAGAAAAATAAAATTAAATTAAAAAAATGCAGAAAGGAAGAATAAAAATAAGAATGATGAAGAGCCAAAATCAACAAATCAATCATTATCTGTCTATATTTCTGAGATGAGGTATTATGTACATTATTTACATTATTCGGACTATTGTTCTCATCTTTGTCGCCATATTTATTACAACGTTTCAGCCGTTGTACGCTCCAGCTTTCTTCAGGTGATTGGAATGTCGAACTTAACCCTTTATTTCACTCACTGGGGTAGACTGTTCTAGTTCCACTTGCCATGTTTAATGGATGTCAGTTATCAGTTATCTCCTGTTAATTCCCCTCACTTTCTCCAACACCATACATTACTTCCCTGTGTTTTTCTTTCAATTACTTCTATGGTAATTGTAAAGTGAATATAACAAACCGAATGCCCATGATACCACCTGCATATCCAAGTTTACAGCATTTGCTATTCCAAATCAGTTACCCATCTAGATACTGACCTTGATGTTGCTTAACTTTGGTGATCATATGGCAACCAGTGTTTCAATTTGATGTGGCCATAAGTCTGCATGCATTGTGATGTAATGGATATTGGCTTAGGAGAAATCTGAAAGCCAAGTCCGAATAATACCTGAGTTTATGACATTCACTTACAGAAAAATACCTTTGGGAAAGGTAGAAATCAATCTCTTCTCCCACTAGCTATGGATTAAATAGCAGGACAGACTGGGTCATGTAGCCTTGGTTGGCAACCAGCCTACTGCAGAAAGAAATGGCAACATACTAAAGGAAAATTTTATGCCTAGTTAGTCATGAATCAAAGGAGACATGATTGCCCAAGTATGTATCATGGATAACACTTAACAGACATATTTACAAAGTATGATATGAAACAGAATTGGTGAGCCAATACACTAACGCTCTTAGGAAAGGCATCAATCTGTCTTCCTCCAGCCATTGATTGAATAAAAAGGTAGACTGAACTCTAGCCTTGGCTGGCAACCAATCTAGGAAAAAGTTCAATCTGAATTCAATCATGGAGAAGGCAATGAGGAACCATTTGCAGGTAACCAAGGAAAGGTCACTGTTGAAAGTATGATAATAAATTTATTTAAATTTATATAGGTGAAATAACCATGAGATTTGAAACCTATGCACATGCACACA